TAAGAATATAACCTTAAAATTCACCAATTTCAAAGAGCTCAGGCTCATGCTCACAGTGAAGCAAGGTTACACTAAGCAAGGATAGATTTCATAAAGTGTTTAAATGTCTTCAGGAATGCAGGGAACATGGCAGGAAAGAGGGGGGGAATATTTTCCCAGGAAAGAGAGGTGGGCATGTCACCTGGGGAGTTGGAATTGCTCTTAGGAAGCACCACTGACTGAATTGGGAAGCCACATTCACAATTCACAGGCTTTATGCATACACCCCTGTAAATGAAAGACTGCAAAAAATCAAATTATTCCATTATTTGATTTAAAAAAACAGTAACTAAAATAGGAATAGTACAAATAACAGATGACACAGTCTTGGGACAACTGACATGCACTTCCATCCACAGCATCAAAGCACCAGTCAACTCAAGACTCATGACTGGCCAGTAAAGTAAATGGATCACCACAAACCCACCCAAGTCAGCCCACTACTATGGTTCCTGTCAGTATTGGGCACGAGCCTACAAAGCACTGCTGTCGGCCCAAGCATTTCTAGAAGAAATAGGATCTGGGCAAGCAGCCAGGCACCAGGCTTCTCTCCAATGGTTTGTGAGGGTTGTTACAGCACACAGTAAAGACTGAGATGTTGTACAGCAAACCCTGCCTGTTTCATCACATAAGAAGGAGCACTTATGTCCATTGTATTGGTGAGGTGACTATGGCTTGGTACCCCCAGACATGTAAGACAGTGCCATAAGAAAACATACAGCCACAGATTCCCTGAATAATGGAAAGTAAGCTATTAAAATAATAGAATTTATATATGACTGCTCGTAGTAACTTTCCATTTTAATGACAATATAGTGACATTTTTTGACAGCTGATATTTTTAACTTTTAAAAAAGGAAGAGGATTATAGTAATGAAGCAGAGCTGAGACATGTTGTTACTGAAACTGCTGTTCCTCTCTTTGCTTCTCTGGGAGCTAGATCATACAGATTCTTACATAGATCTGTGATCCTCTGTCCTTCTGGATCCTGTCAGTAAGCCTGAATCTGCACTGCAGCCTAATTTAATCATGTGCTCATTATCCATACCAGATGTGGTGCTGATACTGTGTTTCTCCTGTACCTGCTTGTGTTTAATCACACATTCATTCTAGCCCACAAACAATGAATATTATGAGGAGAGTGAGAGAGAGTTTCTATCTCTGAAGTTCCACAACCAAATACTGCCATTCTGTCAGCCTGAAGAAGACATTTTTGGCATATCTGCCTCAAGCACTGCAGTGGTATTTATCACAATAAGAAATTGAGGCACATAAAGAGTTATTCTACAATAGTATGTTCATCCACTGGGGTGAAGAAAGGGAGCTGCCATAGCTCAGGCAATAATCTGGAAGGACTCCCATAATCCTATTTTATTTAGTTCATGGCATTTTCACAGCCTCCAACCACTTCTCCTTTATAGCTAACCCTTAGAGAGGACAGCCAGGTCCTTCATCCTCCAGCTGTAGCCACAAGTAAGGATCTGGCCAAGGACCAAGAACATACTCAAAGTGCAGTACCTTCCACAGCAGCCAGCAGGCCACAGGCAGCTGACCATGTGGGCTCTGCCACTCTGTGGAAAATGAGTTTGATGCTATCATGCCAACCACAGTGATACCAAGTTGTCCAGAGTGGTTTTATCTTAAGTGGGAAAGCTTTATAAAACTTTGGTTTTAATATGGTGAAAATCACATCCATGACTCAAGAGAGCTGTTAAAAATAGCTATTGATTAGCTTTAACTTTCCAATGATCTGTAAAGACCCATTTCAGCTCTGAAAACACGCCTCAACTGCATACTTCAGAATTTCTCTTCATCTGTCTCTGATTTGATTTTTAGATCAATAAAACTGATTTTGTCATTGACTTCTGTTATGGAAAACTGGGAGTGCCCAAACTCAGTCAGGGCAGCAGATAATTCTGTACTTGCATTCATTTGTACTTTTTCATTTACAATTAGATTTCAATTAGAATTATTGCATGTTAAAAACCTTCACCATTTATAGCACAGCTCAAAATCTGTTTGCAGACCTACTATTTTCATGTAAATGCTTCCAATAACTTCTCCTTTTGGCAATACCAACACCACCAGACAGACTCTTCTCAGACAATAATTGGAAAATAAGACACAGTTGGCAGTAAAGTGCAAACCAGAGAGGATGTTCAGAGGAAATAACACCACAAGTTGGCAATGCGGCAGATGCATTCACTGACTTGAACCAGATTCAGTCAACAGAAGTTTGCAATGTAAAGATCAAACTATGAAACTCCAATTCAAATATTATTTCAGCCCTAATGACTGGAGGTAAAAGCTGTAAGCCCACCAGAAACCCAGGCAGATGTCAAACCACCTTCAAAAGCGAGCACTTTGAGAAATACTAGGAATTAAATGAAGCAGGTTTATAACAAACAACTCAGCACTTATCAGTTTACAGCTCAGTTATCAGAGAGCTCCATCATCTTTATCTCCAGAGTAACCTAGAAAAGGAGGCAGAAGTACTTGGGCTATGTTAGAACATTGGCCATGGTGTGCATATTGTAGGCAACTGAAAGAAAATCCATGATATGAAGGCATTTCTCCACCAAATTAAACTAGGTGTGAAGAAAAAAGACATAGAAACCTAGTTGAGAATAGCCTAGTCCGTGTCTTCAGATACATCTAAAATACCAGTAACTCTGCGAAGACACAGCTCACTGGTCTCTAAGAATGTCTTCCTGCCAATACATTGCTCTACAAAGTCTTCAATACTCTCTGCAAACACCAGAAATAAAAAGGAAAACCAAGAGACAGTTAAGTGCAGTATTCACTTTAGAGTGGGTCAGTTGCTCATTATTACTGTCCATGGACCAGTGGCTTTTGGGAAACCGCTGGTATCATTTCTTGGAGTCTGTGTCATCCTATTGATATCTGTTCTAAACTCTCCCGTCCCAAGAAAGAAGGAAGCTGAGATGGAGGGAATGGCTAGAGATGGAACATAGTACCCAAGGGACTGGAGTTCAATTTGTTGCTCCACAATAGATTTACTGCACAATCTCAGGGAAATCATTATGGGGAGATGCTTAGAATTATTGAGGCAATGATTCCTGCAGGAAAGCTTCAGTGACCTGGGCAAAACCAAACAGGTCTCTGCCCTGCAGCATTTACAACGTAGATACACACTGGAAGAAACAGTAAGCCATTTCCAAATGTATTAGCAGAACCACAGAAGTTGTAGTGCCATGCAAGAGTCAGTGTGACAGCCAGGTTATTACACAGCAGCTCCTCCACTAGACCAACTCTCCTGCTTCTAATGATAACGAGTGCTGGAAAGAGGCAGACACACATGCAGTGGACACAGGTCAAAAACTGAATTCCTTTGGTAGCTCTCTGGATTCTAGCCATTTATGACTGCCATTTGAGTTGAGGCCTGGCTTCATTCCCTTGTACTTGAGAAGCTCCTTACAAATGCAAAACCAGCAGCATTTCATGAACACTTAGTCATTTACACACGCAACATGAGGCATTGACTGTTTAGACTCTTATCCATACTTTGGCCTTAACTCCTGTTATATTTTATCATAAGCTCTTCTTCAAATATAAGGACCCAGCTAACACTTGGAAGAAAAAGGAACAAGCTTCCCCACTGCCTTTATAGTCAGCAGCTGTGCTGATGAGAGAGCACAAGGCAAGCAGCAGCCATCAACAGGATCTTCCTCCACCTTTCAGCACAGATGGACAAGGAAGAAGAGCTTTGGCTCCACCCCAGTTCTGCAAGGCACAGAGCAAGTAAATCAGACAAAATGATCTGTGCTAGGTGTGGGGAGAGCAAAGCACTTCTGCTTCCTCCCTAGAGGCAGGTCTGCAGGCTCACACTGCTTTCTGAACTGCTCTCCTTCCTCAGTCCTAATGCTCCTCTTGCCCTCAGCCAGCTGTCCACATCAAACAACTGCAGCACCAAAACCTGCTCCTCAAAACAGGAATGCATGCAGCTAGGAGAAACCACAGGAAAGGAAAGAGTAAGGGGGAAAGTATTTGATTCCCTTCTATTCTCAGGCAGCCAACACACTATCTCCATACATGTTATCTTCTTGGCACAGCAAATGAACAACTTTCTATGATTCAGTAAACAGAAATACAACTCATACTGGCTTTTTAGGCAGAGAAGAGAATGCATTAAAATTAAGTAATCTCAGAATCATGAATTCTAAAGGGTATAGTAAGAAAACATTGGCTGGATAAACTGTTCATTACAAGACACACAGCCCTTTTCTCACTAAGGAAACTGCTGTGCAGTAACCACTGTTCAAACGATGGTGTGACAGTTTGGATGTCAGGGACAAGCAGTTGTAACTTGGCTGCTGAACATGCACTCCAGGGCAGAAAGCTGCAGCAAGTTTTAAACACAGAGACTTGCAAAATGCCTCACAGGGAGCTGCTTTGCTGTAAAACTCAAACTCTTTTGTGACTTTCCATCAATCACTTGATCAGGCAATGAAACTCACCGAGTGAAAGATTCGTGAAAACAGACTCTGAATGCATTAAAATTTTCCAGGGCAAACCCATTTTTACCTCTCAAATTTGCATCCAGGGGAGCCCAGCCCATTATCTGAGGTTAAATCTTCTAAAATCTGCCTTTGCAAACTGGAAGTGGAAAGTGTAAAAAGCTGCTGAGAACCTGCTATTTCATCCCAGGTTTCAAAGCATCAGGCACCTCAAGTAACTTCCCCACAAATCAACATAAATTCTGGCTTCAGCTGCTCTGTTCCAGCGTAGCTACCACAGAGCATGTGCTCAAACTTCTAGTGCCACTGTCTGTAAAGAAGTGCCTGGTGCAGCGCAGCTATTCCCACACAAGGGAACATTAGTTAATTTGCATTCACAGTTACCATATGAGGTGTGAGTTTCTGACAGTCCACACATTTTATATTTAAAGGCTGGAGGAAATTAATGTAATTATCTTTGATAGAATAACAAAAGTAACTTACCAGCCCATCGCAATTGCTGATAGCGACTGAAGCATTTGGCAAATCAGTGATATCCCCAACATAGAGGCAATTCCCATAGAGAGGTTCAATGTGAGTCTCATCAGAGTCCTCCTGCCACTCAACTGTTGCTCCAGGGGCCACGAGCCTGGAGTTTGGCCGCAGCCTGAAGTGAAACTCTCTTCCAAAAACAGTGACATTGTAAAATATTTGCTCATTTGCTGCTTCATGTTGCAAGTCCCCCGTGGCTCTCCTGAAGCGCGCTTTTGGAGGTCCAGACACTAAGTGGGATAGGAACCTGCCTTCTGAATCGGTGCTGGTGGGGATGACAAAGCTGTACTCCTCTGTATTCCTCAGAATTGAATCTTTACGGGGAGAAAGCAGGAAAGAGACACTAGAACTAAACATATCCTGATGCCGCGGGATTTTTATTCCATTATTCATTAGCACAGCAGACACTTACATAAGGCAGATGGACACTGCACTCTGCACAGGCACAAGCATGAAGTGTGCAGAGTTCATTCAAACTTGCTTTTTGCTCCCCAAAACACCAGACGGCAGCTTGAGCCTCCCCGCCCCGCCGGGACCCCTCACTCCTGCCCATGCAACGCGGTCCCATTACCCTTTGCCCACCCCGCCGGGACCCCGCACCGCTGCCCACCCGGTGGGTGCTCAGGTCGCCCCCGGGACTTTGGGGCTACCCGGGCTGCCCTCGATGATGAGAGGACGCTGATCCACTTAGGGACTGGTCTGAGGGGCTGGGGTAGGGGTTGGCTTGCAGGTGACAAGCCTGCAAGGGAAAGGCGCGTCCCTCAAACTACCCCGGTGCGGCGGGAATGCGTCGGGTGGCGACAGTAACGCCAGGGGCAGCGACCGGCAGCGCGCTCAGCGGGAGCCCCGAGAGTTTGGCACGGCGGCGATGCCCGGGGCAGGAGGAGGAGGAGGGGGCGGCAGAGGAGCTGCCATGTGCTTCATCCCGCATGGGGAACTCCAGGCTACGCGCCCTGCCCGCCGGGGTTCGCGGGGCGTCCCTTCCCCTCCGGCGGCCCCGGGTGCCTCCGTACACGTCCCCGTCCCCGCCTGCCGCTTGCAGGAAACAACTGGAAACCCGGCAAAAAGTAGCCGCAGAAGAAGTTCAAGGGGAGCCGGAAAGCCGCGGGGAGACGAGCCGCCACTTCAGACGGGAGGGCTGCAAGGCACCGGGGCAAAGCCAGCAGCCCAAAGGCGTCTCGGCGGAGACCTACCTCTGTGCCCGGGGCGCCGCAGGGCGCCGGCGGGCAGGGCGAGAGCGCAGCAGAGCAGGACGAGGGCGATGCCCGCGGGAGGGTCCATCGCGGTGGCCCCGGCCCGACGCGGGGGGCCGGTGCCCGGGCTGCCCGCAGCCGGGGCGGGCCAGGCGGCAGCCCCGCTCCGCTCCTCTCCGCGCCGCTCAGCGTTGCCCCGCGCCCCGCCGCCCGCGCATTCGCCCAGCCGCAGCCGCAGCGGCAGTGGCGGCCGCGCTCCCGGCTCGCAGCGAAGCAGAGACACCAGGAGGCGGCGGGGGTATAATACTGGATACACAGGGCGTGCGGGAGTGGAGTCAGGCTGATTGACAGAGGCGCTGCCACACGGCGCAGCCGGGCCGAGGGGAGAGGGGACCGCCCGCCCCGCCGGGCAGCTCCGGGGACCGCCCGGCCCCGCCGCCAGGCACCCCCTGCCGGGACCCGCCTCTGCGCCGCTCGGGACGGGACCCGGGAGCGGCTGGGGGGCGGCGGACAAAAGCGAATACACACACACACACACACACACACACACCGGGATCGGGAGCCCCCGGAGCCGGGACGGAGCCCTGGGATCTCGATGCGCGGTCCCGGGAATTCACACGGAATTCCCTAGAAAACCCGAGCCCGACGGGACAAACGCTGGGCTCCTACGGGTGAGTTCCCTTGGAGCCTCAGGTTCACGTTGAAAGCAAGGACCCGAATGGGAGAAGTGCCACCAACACACGTGAACCATGATCAGAGATCTTCACCCCACAAAATCAGTGACCCCACACAGCCATTTCACAGGAATAACTGTTTGGACTGTTCACCAGTAAGACCGAAATTACTTGCTGCAAAGCCATCTGAGACTAAATATCTGCAAATGGAGAGAAAGGCCAGGAAAACGAAAGGAATACTATAAATATGATGTAGAAGAAGATTTTTTTTAAATAATTCAATAACCAAGAGCAGCCCTCATGGAAAAAAAATAAAAAAAAATCCAAGTTATATTTGTTTCCATATGGCCAGGATAAATGCCATCCTGCTTCTTCCTTTCAGATAATGTATGTATTTCTCAAGCTGTTCCATTATCAGGTTTGCAGGTTTCTCCTCCCTTCAGCCTTGCAGAGTCCTCCAGCCCGTCCTGGGCACTCGTTGTTCCAAGGCCTCACCCACCACAGGTAGAGCTGAGCTGCATCCACATGGGTTGAACCCTGTTGGAAACCAGCATGTGATGGCTTCCTGCGGGAAGCTGGTCCTCTGCCAAGGAATTTTCCTGGGTATCCTTGACTATTCTTGCTCCTTTATGACAAAGGGCCCAGTTATAACCTCCCATCCCAATATTATGCACAACAAGTGAAGGGTATAGAAGAAAAATAACATTTGCCTAGTGCTACCCACACTGGTGACTGGGTTTTATGGACCTCAGGCCTGATTAGTTAGGGCAGTACATGATTTTTCTGCTTGTTTAGTTTGTTATTCAGGTTTGGTTTTCCCATTTCTTCAGGTTAAGGATAAAAAGGGAAAGATTATTCTGAATAATGGAGTAGATCAATTTGCACGCTACATTCAAGCATCCCTTTACTTATCTTCTCAAATGACTTCTGTTGGGATTGCTTCCGTACCGGGCTTTCCCAGTTCTTCCTTTTGCTTTGTTTTTCTGTTTTTCTTTGGTTTGTTTTGTTTGTGAGTCCATATTGAGCAGCTTCTCTTACTTAAAATCTCATACACTTTCATCAGTACACAGCTGGTAAAGTTCCAACTTCGTTTTTATTGGACTTGTATTTTAAGCTGATGATGTGGCTTTTTAATGTTCCATCCATCCCATCCTGCTGAAATTGAAATAACTTCTGCTCATAAACTTGAAAGGGAGAGGGGTTGGCCCTGTGTTTGAAATCAGACTTTTTATTTGTATCTGATACAGCCAGAAAAAATAAGGAGACAGAGTATATTATAGAAATACAAAACAGCCCAGACAATGGTTCTACTAATTAAGATGGATTTTTACTCTTGAAGCTATTGGAGATTAGCAAATATGCTTTAATATGGATAACAGCTGCACTGCAGAGTAATGATATAAACAAAAAGCATCAGTAACTGCCTTCATGTAGAAGTTCATTTCTATATGGAAACCAAGCTCCGTGTGCTCGTTAGCTTACTACATGGGGCCAGGACCCCGAAGCTCCTCAAGCTCGAGGAGTTCCTGGAGCTGTTTTACAACCTTCTTTAAAATCTTAAACAAAACCAAACTGAGAACAAGTGTCAAACAACAGAGCCAGATCTGCAGCTGGTAAGAGTTGTGCTTCCCCTGAACTCACTGGAATAAATCCTGGTTCCACTCTGAAGTCAGTAAGAGTTTTGCCATTGACTTCAACAGAGCCAAGATTTCCTGCCATAGATAGACGATGCCAATTTAGACTGACTGAGGATGCGCCCCACAGCACAGCAATGGGCCCATTATGCTGCCAGAGCAAAACTGGATCCGTGTTTGATCCTGGGGAGGAGATCCAAAGCACACCAACCACCACAGAGCCTGAATGAGTGAAATTCAAGAACAGTGCTTCCCTCCTTGCTCTTACACCACTGTAGCAGAGACATTCAGGGGAACACCCTCTGCAAGACCAGTTCTTCCCCATTTCCTAAAGTATTTGCCCAGGATTTTTGGCACAGGCAGCCGAGGTGCTGCCTGGTTTCCATGGCAGGGCCTCGCCATGGCTGCCTCCAGCAGGACACTTCACATGGTTTTAGAATAAGCTAGAAACACTCAGTGTGGAACGTATGTACTGCTGCGTTACTCAGAGCCCACAGACCTCTACATTAATTGGTGTGAACGAAGCCACCTCATGTTTCATTTCTTGGAATAAAGGGAGGAGGGCTATATACTGTAACTGTGCTCCCAAAATTTGATCTGAGGGTATCCAGTGCTGCTGCCATCACATGCACAGGTGGGTGCCTTTGCTGGTGGCAGGCCTGTAGAAAGGAGAAAATAATACTGTGTCCCCTGGAGGAACACCAGGCTAAAGGAAAGGTGTTCGAGCAGCATATGCTCAAAATACCCGAAGTAGCTTTACACAAGGTACCTGAGGAACAAACAGTTCTGTAACTGAACCAGTATATTGCTCAGCACAGATTGCCCAAGTATTTACTTGGATTTACAGATCTTCTAGTCCACACCGAGTTTGTGCTGTCAGTTCCTGTTCTAGCAATGGCAGAATCTGTATAAACTGCAGCCAGACCTTCCCTGAGAAGATGCTCTCACATTTAATTTTGCATCCTAAAATGAAAAGATCCTAAGCTGAAATCACCAGCTACTGCTAGGAAAGTGTTCAAAACACGTTGAACTGCACATGACGAGGAGGAACCTTGTCTCTGAGAATTCTGTTTCTGAGGGTCAATCAATCTTTTCCCTGTGTCAGTGGTGCTGTGAGGGGAGATGCAGGATGGCAGCGCTGTGCCCTCTCAAAAGGGCCACGCCATCACCTGCGCAGGTAACAGGCTGCTCACAGCCCTCATGAGCCTAAGCACTCCAAGCTCTTCAGCAAGAGGCTTCCCAGGAAAGGAGAGTTCTCATGTCTGACCTCCCTATGGGGTACAGGAATCCTTTCTGCATTAGGGCTGTGTGCTGCCTGCAGTATAGTCCTTATGCAGACGTTTCATCCTTACCTGATACGCAGCATTTGTGACTATGCAACATTATAAGGATTAATAAAAAGAGAAATTACAATAGCATGCCAGTTCATTCCCTCCACACTTGCCATGTCCAAGCTCTGTATTGTTTGAACCCTTTGCCGCTATATGGCAATGTTACATACTGCCTAGAAAAAATGCATGTATTTAATGCTGACTTTGAAGTAGCGTATGCTAAAGAGCAGTAACTAGAACTGGAACAGTCCTGCCTTTCCCCCCTTTACATGAGCACAGTAATGAAATGATCCATCACACAGGAAGCAGACCAATGTAACAGTTAATAAATTACCAATTTTTTTTTCTCTTTTTACAAAAGAAAGTGCCAAAGAAACATTCTAAGAAAAAAAAGTGACAAGAAACTAAATTAAAACAGTAATACCCAGGCTAGTCTCTTTGATTCCTGGAGTAAGAAATGAGGTACTATTACAGAGAATATGTACATCTTTAATTGGTAACTAATAAAGTTCTGCCTGCAACAGGAGAGCTACTGACTGTATAAAAGGGCATCTCAGCCTGAGATTTCCAATAGCCAGCTCCCCAGCCCTTGCCAGTTAGGTTCAGAGTGCCCAGGCAGACAGGTCCTCACCAGACATGAGTGATCCTGCTAAGACAGGAGCAGCACAGGATGTGTCCCACAACTTCAGGGGCTTAAGGAACTATATTGACAAAAACTGAAGCCACTATATACGGTAGTTTTGAACCCTGGTACTGTTGGACTACTGGACTTAACTCTCACTTCAGTATCTAAGATTCAAGTGTACAGTCTTCCAAGGTGGAACGGAGCAGCAGGCATTCATCCCAGCCTCACCCCGTGTGTCGGTGCTACCCATGTGTTAGGTATACCAAAGGTGAGGAGGCTACCTGAAATCACAGAGCCTAAAGATTAATCTGGCCACGTAAAGACCAGCTGTGGACACCCTCTCAGGTTGTTGATAGCACAGGATGAAATTCCGTCTGCACTGGCCAAAGCTCCTACCTGACCAGAGGCTTGCAGCTGAAGTGTACACACACACACCAGTTTGTACTCAGATGCAGGGAAGGAAGGAATAGAACTAGGGGGGGTGGATGCAAGTTTCCTTCAGCTTCTTCTGTATTTGGTTCAGCCACTTTGTCCTGATTCAGTGGCCCACCGTAAATGTTCCATCCTGATTCCCCTTTACATTTTCTCTGCCAGCGTAACACATAAAATGTCATTGTTAACACTTCTTTCACTAATCATCGGTATTTAACTGCTGGTTGTAATTGTCTTTTGATAAATAGTACAATCCCTCCCCTACATTTTCACCTTGATTCTTTCTGTGCAGAGTTATTGCCTCGCTATTAATATTCCAGCTATGTGATTTATCCCAGCATGTTCCCAGAATACTTGCCTTCCCTATATAAATATTTGAATGATCTTAATTTCAACTAATTAGTACTGGGACATTTGATTTCCCTCTTGAAGAATTCTCATTTGTTACTAACCAGTTCCTTCCCAGTTTATGAGAGATCTATTTTGAAGGGAGAAAATAGCCACTGAATGA